TTTGGCAGTCTGTCCCTCACCCTAGACATTGGCCTTCGTCGGTCATTCACCTGGATCTTTGTGATTGCTGATGTCCCTCATGCAATCCTCAGCCCAAACTTTCTTGCCGAGTTCGACCTCCTTGTTGACTGCCGACCTGCCCGTCTCCTCCACCGCACAACCGGTCTGTTTGTTCGTGGACTAACTCCCTTTAGTGCCCCCACCAAATTATCTGTCTTGGATACGGATATAGCTAGTCCCTTTCGGCAACTGCTTCTTAGTCACCCCAACATAATTAACCCCCAGCTTCGCAGTGGTGAGGTTCAACATGATTTTGTGCACCATATCCGTACCTCAGGTCCTTCCGTGTTTGCTCGGCCGAGACGACTAGCACCGGAGCGTTTCCAGGCCGCGGAGGCGGAGTTTGAACACATGCTGCAACTGGGAATAATTCGACCGTCAGAGAGCCCTTGGGTGTCCCCACTGCACATGGTGCCCAAGGTGACATCAGGCGACTGGCGACCCTGTGGCGACTATCGAGCCCTCAACAGCGCTATCATTCCTGATCGGTACCCCATGCCTCATTTTTAGGACTTTGCTGGAGCCCTTTTCTGCAAAGCGGTTTTCTCGAAGACTGATCTGGGGCGTGCTTTTCATCAGATTCCAGTCGCCCCTGAGGACATCCCTAAAACAGCCGTCACCATACCCTTCGGTCTCTTCGTATTTATAAGCATGCCGATCGGCCTTCGTAATGCCGCCCAAACGTTCCAGGGGTTCATCGACCATGTCTTACGTGGCCAACCGTTTGTGTACGCCTACACTGATGACCTCTTGGTGGCCAGCCGGAAGGAAGAAGAACACAAAGAGCATCTTGCCTTGGTGTTTAACCGCATTGGACAAGTTTGGCGTTGTCATCAACCCTCCCAAGTGCGTGTTGGGTGCGCCTTCACTCGAGTTCCTCGGCCATTAGGTCGAATCTGAAGATTTGCGTCCCCTCCCCTCCAAGGTTGAAGCAGTTCGTAATTTCCCTCCACCAACTTCCAAGCGACAGTTACAGCGATTCCTCGGCATGGTCAATTTTTACCGCCGGTTTCTACCGAACTGTGCTGATCTCATGTTGCCGCTCACCAACATGCTTTCTGGTCCCAAAGGTCCCCTCGAGCTGACTGGTGAAGCACTGACTGCTTTTGAGAGAATCAAGAATTCCCTTGCTGATGCCACCTTACTCACACATCCCGCTCCCGAAGCTCAGCTGTCTCCGATGGTAGATGCTTTGACCGTACCCGTAGGTGCAGTCCTTCAACAACGCCTTGCTGGTTCGACTCAACCACTTGCCTTTTTCTCCAAAAAGCTCTTACCAGCTGAGACACGCTACAGTACCTTTGGCCGTGAACTACTTGCCATTTACCTGGCTGTGATGCATTTTCGGCATTTCCTTGAAGGTCGTGACTTCACTGTTTTTACTGACCACAAACCGTCGACTTTTGCACTTCGTTCCCACACTGACTAACTAAACCCCCGGGAAATCCGCCAACTGGACTACACCTCCCAGTTTACCTCAGATATCCGCCACATCGATGGGTCACGCAATGAGGTGGCTGACGCACTGTCCAGGCCCGCTATTGTTCATCTTCAGTTTTCACCCGGGATAGACCTCGCTGAGATGGCCACTGAACAACGCCGTGTCGGTTCACCCTGTGATGAGGATGTTTGCGGACTCCAACTTCAGGAACTACCACTGAAGACTTATGCATATCCTCCGGCGCCGTATTACGTCGCCTTCCGGTCTAGTAGGGGGTTACTGTGGTGAAGTGCCGGATTAAATTACCTTTGAAAATTTAGTCCCGTTTTCCTTGCCCGGATTGCTTATTTGAATGTGACGAAAAACAACACACCTGTACAACCTCCTCGGCACCCCCGGCGTCCTGCGACCCACCACACTACAGTACCTGTGCTAACTCATGAAATACCGAGGTCAAAATAAAAAAGGAAAATGTAGCGTATTTTTGGTGTTGTTATTTGTGTTTATTTAGTTGATATAAGGACGAAAAGGCCGTTTGCTGAGGGAATGTTTGATACGGATCTGTAGATTAAATAGAAAACGGGCCGCATTTCGGCAAAATCGGAGGATTCCTGATATTCAAGAAGTTTCCTACGCTATTAAAGCTTTCGGATAGAAATTCCTTGTGTTACCTTATTAATCTGTTTAAGAAGATTAATAAAAGGACGAAATTTTTCAATAAACTTACGAACAAAAAGGAAAAAAATAAATTTCAATATCAAGAAAATCAGGGAAATGCAAATAATTTCTTATTGTGTTCAGGAAATAACGTGCGATTCTTCATCTTGAAATTCTATTTTACAAATTCGTAAAGTTTTATGTTTCAAAATACCGAAATAAAAAAGTTTATCAGTGTGATTGTTTTACCAGACTGAAAATGCCGTCACTTTTCTCTGCCACGCCAAACGATACCTATGTCTAAACAATACTTATCCGAAGTTGACTTCCAGCGCATTCGAAAATTAGCGGCGGAGGGAATCCCGCGTGATTTGTTAGCTAGTATTTTCAATATTTGCAAGGTCACTCTGTGGCGCATTATTAATGATAAAACTGTTCCTAGAAATAAGATAGGGGGACCCAAACGGTCCACAAGTAAGCAAGACGACGATTTTATTCGTCGTACATTAGAAAAGTTTCATTACATGCCCATTGAGACCATTCAACGGGAACATCTGCCGATGTTTTCTATGAAAATCATTAGGAAAAGAATGAAGGAATTTGAACTGCAGCTGCGGAAGGCCATGATTAAGCCATATTTAAGTAGAAAACTAATTAGAGAACGGCTTTTATTTGCTAAGAATTATATTGATTACAGGTCTTCATTTTGGAAGAGCATTTTCTTCTGCGATGAGGTTCTATTTTTAGACAAGCCTACGAAGTCGCTCCAAACCGTCATATGTGGAAAGAACTTCCCCAGAGAACACACTACACCGACGGCAACATTCAAGAACTGTCGGCGGATGATGGTTTCGATGGCGATTACATTCGGTGAGCGGCCTGTCTGGCGGTCAACATCCGACACCATCAACAGCAAGGTGTTTATTGCAATTGTCAAGGATGCTTTCGGCTACAACGGCATAAGTCGGCGCCTAATGAATACTCTAATTTTGCAGGACAACGCACCTGTCCACCGCTCTAAAGAGGATCGAATTTGATGCCGCTTGCAAATATAATCTGACATTTTAGACAACAACCACCCTCTCCGCCATCGGCCTCCAATCTATTTTCATCCCGGCCAACAGTCCCGATTTGAATCCTATCGAAAATATTTTTGGAATAGTCAAAAGAAATTGGCACAAAGCTAAGAAGACTCTTTCAATGCAGGAAAAATTGGACTTCATACTCAATAATTACATTTCACAATCCACCATAGATAACCTCATGTCTGTCTGACAGACTTTCTGCCGTTATTAATTCAAATGGACAATCAACAAAATACTGATTTTTTGTATCTGTTTCTGTCCTTAATTATTTTTGCCTTTTTTATGCGCCCACCTCCTTTATACGCCCTCATACGTAGCCTTTATTAACTTGGTTGTAATATAGGCGTTTCTCGAAAATGTGACTTTTGTCGAAAATTTTTTTATCTCATTAAATATTTTCTTAACCAAACTTTGCTTTATTTCTTTGACATATCTCTTATTTTCCGCTATCAGACTTTGGGAGCCGTAGTGTTTACCGATTCTGCGTTTAAGTCGTTAACCTGTGTTAATTCATGACATTTCATGAGTTAGCACAGGTACTGTACGTCCAAAATAAACTCCTTTGTTAGCAAGACGATGCGCATCTGTAACAGGGAAAAGTTGAACAGCAGCCATAGAATGGTGCCGTTATGTCTGCTCGATTCTTCTGCTGAAAGAGGTAAAACAATTGAACGGACATGGGATAGAAATGAAAATAGACGAAAATCTCACAAGCAAGAGGAAATATAATCTTGAAGGAGGCAAACGCCAGGGATGGGTAACAGGGATATGCAAACACATGCCAAATAAGGGCCCTCTTCGAACAAGTAAACGATAGAACCTGGGGTTCACTGAGAATGGTGAGAAAAAAGTGGGTTGCACCGGGAAGTACAATCATAATCAACGAATGGAAGGTGTACACCAGCCTGGTTGGCCTCAATACCATGGGATTGAAGGAGGCATGGGAAGTTTCCCTGTCTCACGTTGCAGAGGCATACCCCATGTTAGTGAAACTCAACGTAGCGATAGTTTTGTCGTCTGGATTGTCCTGGCTGTGTGTAAGGGGACTCAAGGGAAAACTCAACCAATGGGAACGACGAAAACGATGTGAGGGAGCCGATCGCACTGAAATTCAGTGATCCCAGTGAACCCTAGACCAACCAAACCTGACCAAATCCGTATGCATAGTGGGATCCAAAAAACGTGAGCAATTAGCATGCCTGTCATTTCGGGTGTAGGGTAAATGTGGACGACCGTACAGATTGTAAAATTGTTAAGTAGTTAAATAGGGATTACCTAAGATGAAGGGCTTGTGTATACTGGTGGAGTACGTTTTAAATAAGTTATTTGGCAACGGTAGGCTGAAGGACGCCAAGTATCACTGACTAGCCACGGACGCCTGTCTTACGGGAATGGTGGTAATAGGGGTTTTACTTTGTTTCTTCCCACCAGCGTGACCTCTACGGATTCCAACGGTGCCACTACTTCCCTCAGTGGACTTGTTTCTTCACTCCAAGACTTATAGCAAAATGCGCCCGAGCTTTATTTTTTCCGTATCGAGGCGACACTTCAGTCAAATATTATAAGTTGGTCGAGGCCCTTCCTCCTACCATTCTTTCCCAAGCGTAGACGATTTTGCGAGATCCCCCGACCGATGTTCCCTACACGAAGCTAAAGGCTGAGCTCCTTCGCCTGATCTCAGCCTCGTAAAAGAAGAGGCCTTAGGTGATCGTAAGCCGTCGGAATTACTACGTCGTATGCGTTCTCGCGTTAGGAACATGGCCTTCGACGACAAGTTCTTTAAAGAGATGTTCTTAGAACGTCTGCCGACGTCAGTGCAAGCAATCTTGGCCTCTGGCTCAGACGACCTAGACATATCAAAGCTAGCGGAAATGGCCGACCGTATGATGAAGGTTGAGCGTTTGTCATCCCCGACGACTGCCCAGGTTTCCCAACCTCTCACCGTGTCCACCTCTGACTTGGCTGAACTAAAGACACAGATTGCCTGGTTGTCAGCGACTGTTGCCGCTTTGCAGCTGCGCCGATCCGCCGGTCCCTCTCGACGTTCCTTTGACCGCGACCATCGTCGTTCCCGCTCTCGCACCAGCACCACAAACCTATGTTGGTATCGTGTTAACTATGGCGATAAGGCGTGCCACTGCGTCCCCCCCCCCTGCTCCTTCAAGTCTACACAGGGAAACTCCTCGACCGGAGACTAAATGTGGCCAAGCTTTCTGGCAACTCTACCGGCCGCACCTTTTACATCAGTAATAACACGAGTGGCAGATGTTGCCTAATAGACACTGTCAACACCTACTACGGCTGTGAGAGACGTTACGGTAAAAATCAGTACGTGGACAAGGTTGCATTCGATAGCGTCTCTCAGCCATTGAGGATGGATGAGAATTTGTTATCCGCCCCAGACAACCCTCATCGCACAG